AGGACACAGTCTTCACTAATAGGGGACACCCCATTCAACCTTCAGATTTAATGCTTTGGCAGAAGTACCTGGTGAGAAGCTGTCTGCAGGAAAGAAGTTTTATGAGAAAGCTAAAAGGTTGAGCGTGTGCCTGTGTGCTAAAATTGGGCTTACAATATCTATCTCATAGGTTAACTATAGAGATAAGCTGGTACACAGAAGATCCTGTTGAAATGTTTTAGGCTTTACAGTAGGTCCTTTAGAATGAAACGCTGTACATAAGCATTAAAAGCCAATAGGAAATGTTCAAATTTGAGAATATTGTGAGCTTTGCCTTTGTGGGTTTCCCTAAAATCTTCTGCATTGCATCAAAATAAGAAAGAAGGAGTGAGAAGGGGGAAATAGCACGGAATAAGTAGGATGGAGTGACTAAGGATGTGCTCCAAAGGCCACTTGAGTCAATGGCTGTGTTTACAGGATGATTTGGTTCATATTCTGAATTTCCCATCCAGAACCTGCACAAAAAGCAAAGGGGTGACTGCAATACCAATTTGCAGAGAAGAGTCTGCTCTGTGTCATCTCATTTTAGTACATACTCAATAAAGGGGACTTACAGTATTCCTCTATGGCAAGGAGCGTGTGGCAGGCTCCTGTCCACAGCCTGTCCCTGCAACACACAGGGTCCTTCAGCTTGAATATTTCAAGGAAAGGATGAAACATGTATGTACACAGACATTAATATAAGCATTTTTACATAAACAGAAAAATTATGCCAGTCTGTATTTCTTTGCCTCCAATATTTCAGTTTCAGAGCCCTATCTCTTCTGTTCATTCCCATTTGTAACATTTTGGAGCCTACCAACAGAGCTGTTTGGTGCAGCTGAAGATCAACAACTGACTAGATCAGGACTATGCAATATAACATACAAAGACTGCCTTTAGACGTCTTAAAATTCAGTCTGTGGTATTATACTTCCTTAGCAAACATTAAAAAAAGTACTAATCCTTCCACATGCATATAGACATATATATTTAAGCATATATACATGTGCACACATACACAGAGGAAGAGTGAGAGAGATTAATGTAAGGTCTGACTACCTTTTAAACTAATGCCCCTTTACATCTCTGGCACTGTAAAGAGTCCTTAAAAAGGGAAGATACATAATTTACATTCATTTTAAGGCCATCTCAGTACTGATGAGAAGTGTAAAGAGGCCTTAGAGTAACAGAACCAGCCCCAACGGTACCCACTGCCACACTTCCTTTTCACGTTTTGCAGATATTTGCATTACAAATGAGATTCCTTAATTACAGGTTGCATTCCAAATAAAACATCATTACAAATATTAAACTGTAGAGAAGCAATGGCTGGCATATTGGAACAAGACCTTAAGGGTAGATTCTGATACAGCCAGACTGTGAGTGACAGATTCACACCAAGCCACTGCTTCTTCCACAACAGGGCTCAGTGCATTTAGCGCTTAAGTAATCCTCTCCGATTATAAAACCAGCAGAGCTATTCTAACATTTTGTCCACTGGTCCACAGCGCAGAGAAGCACAGGCAGCAGAAGGAGCACCTTTTACCCATATACAATGCCTAGCATAATAAAGCCCAATTGTGTTTTGGGGCTGCTAGTCTCAATTCAGAGAAGAAAGGAATTAAGATAAATCAAATAGCAATTCCTACTTTATACGTACTTGACTTTTTGCAGAAATTATAGCCTTTTATGTAACATACATGCTTAGGAATCCTAATGGAAACGTATGGCTGCATCTTGTCACACTGAAGGTCCATCTAGCCCAGCATCCTGTCTCCAGCTGTGAGTTGGCTGCCTAGAGAGGAGTGTAAAAGCGGGGCGAGTGTACAGCACTGCTCTCTCAGAATGCTCCCCTAGTCCTGAACTTGTGGTTCAAGGACTTTCTGCACCAAAGCTTAACAGCTCCTGACTGATTTTCTTTCCATGAAGAGTCACTTTTGAGCATATGTGCATTTTTAGCAACATTGCCTCCTGCTCAAATCTTTGTTACATCGTGGGTGAAATGTCTATCTTTGTTTTGAACCTGCTACTTGCTATTTCCACTTCATGCCCCCTAGTTCTTGTACTGGGAGGAATAACAAACAGTGGTTCCCTGCTCACCTTACGAGATGCTCCGCTTCTGAAGATTGTCCTGCAATAGATCATGGGAATGTACTGTATTTTAACAGGGCACCTGTGACACTGTATGTGCTACAGCAGACAGAGTGAGAGAAAAAGTGGTTTTCATGATAATCCTACTCTTAGGGTCTCATAACTTCAAAGCTGAAACTTGCTTTTTGTATTCTACAATAAAACGGACATAGTCAAGTTTAGAGGGGAGCTTACATCAAGGGTAACTAATAAAAAACAATGTGTTCTCCCAAGTGACTACTGTTAAGCTATCTGAAGTTAGATTTTTTTCTGTATCTGATTGTTTTGATGGAAGGCTGTTAACTTTTCGGTGTCTCTTGGCAAGTTAGGACTCATATATTTTTGTACGTCTAGCTCATTCTTTTCCAGTATCTCTTTTTTTTTTTTTATTTATAAATGGAAGAATGAGTTACATTTCTTTTTCAGACACAAGCCATACCATATACCATATTGCGTTCTACTTGTCTTGAATAAGAAACAGGCTTGAACAGTTAGTCATTTCCAGTGTCTGTCAACTAGATACAAGTTCAGTAAAATGAGCCATTTTAAACTTTCAGGACTGCCATTTTCAGCAGCAAGAACTTGCATTCACTGTGCACTGCTCCCCAGCAACTTGTCGTCTGGAATAAATCTGTTTATTAAGGATTCACAGAGCTCTGGAAAATATAGGAACAAGTCCGTGACTGCATTCATGCTCTTCGAACCCACACAACACGTTGTGAATTCAGTACAATTTTAATCTGTATTCTTAAAGTGTGTTTGTTTTGGTGTGATGATGATGAAGGTGTGTTTTGTTCTGTTGTCTTTTTTTTTTTTTTTAATGTCTCACTCCCCTTTTCTCTTCCTATCTGTGGTGGGTTGCTCTTGGCTGAATACCAGGTGCCACCAAGCTGCTCTATCACTCCCCTCCTCAGCAGGACAGGGAGGGGAGAAAATAAGATGGGAAAAAAAAACCCCATGGGTAGAGATAAAGGTAGTTTAATAAAGCAAAAGCAAAGGCCACGTGTGGAAGCGAAGGAAAACAAAAGATTTATTCTCTACTTCCCATCAGCAGGTGATGTCCAGCCACTTCCCGGGAAGCAGGGCTTCAGTATGTGTAGCAGTTGCTCCAGAAGACAAACATCATAATAACGAATGCTCCCCCCTTCCTCCTCCTCTCTCTTAGCTTTTATTGCTGAGCGGACGTCACACGGTATGGAATATCCCTTTGGTCAGTTTGGGTCAGCTGTCCTGGCTGTGTCCCCTCCCAAGATCTTGCCCACCCCCAGCCTACTGGTGAGGGGGGAAAATGTTGGAGAGACAGCTTTGATGCTGTGCCAGCACTGCTCAGCAGTAGCCAAAACACTGGTGTGTTATCAACACCTTTCTAGCTACCAATACAAAGCACAGCACTATGAGGGCTGCTCTGGGGAAAATTAACTCCATCTCAGCCAGACCCAATACACTATCCTACCCTCTACTCTGTCTGTTGTATCTTGATGTCTCTGACTGTCAGACTCTTAGTGGTCTTTTATCACATTCAGTTCACTTGATTGTCTAAAAGCCTCCCACTCGTGCAGAGGATTTTTTCTCCACGTGCTTTTGCTCTCACTGTGCTCTCGCCTTCGCGCTCTCTCTCTCTCTCATCCCTGCTTCAGTCTCTCCCAGTTAATGTTTATCTCCAGTTTCTCATCGTTCCCCACTCCTTTCAGAAGATAGTGGGACGGTCAAATAAGTATCTGGGAAGCCATGCCTTGGGCTAAAATGTATCTATCCAATCTCTGAGTGCTATAGTTAAAAAATTGGGAATGGCATCTCCTGTGGTCATTTTATCCACAGACTAAATGGAAACACTACAAGCCTCAACGATGCTATTGATTGCCAATTACCTCTTAACTGCTAATGTGTACATGATACTGGCTTTGCCTTATTGATTTTTATATAGAGGATGTATATTTTAGAAGTATTTTTTTACTTTAAGATAACATAAAATCTTACAGGTTCCCTTTTATTTCCTTTCAGACTACGTAGCCAAAATTGGTACTTGGTCTAGAAATCTCCAGAGACCGCATTATACACAAGGAGTTCATATGCATCTGTGTATAAATGTTTCAGTTAACAGTTTTTTACATTGGAATCGTATGTACTAAGGCATACACACACACAAGAACATCTGTATGTAAACACCCTTGATTTCAACTATTTTCAAAGGATTTGCTTCATCTGAAAGGTTCTGATTGCAAATTTTATGCAGATACACATAAGTGCTGCTGTGTTTCATTAGGGGCAGTGCAGAAAAAAACTGCAGTCTCACAGCCTATGTGTACCTTGAAGTATTAACTCATTCTATAGTTTGCAGCACGGCAAAACCTCATAGACCTAAATCCAGCAGTCTTGATATTTTCATTTCTTCTTCATTATTTGTGCATTAGTATCTACTAGCCAAAATTGACATCACTGTATGCTGAACAAATGCACAGCAAGAAACAAAGCCTTCCCCTTGAAAGTTTTAGGTCTAAAGGTGAGATTTGAAAAATTGCCTAATGGAATTAAGAGGCCAAATCCTCATTTTCAGTTTGTGATGTCACCTTTGTTGGGGATTTTTAAAAGGCAAGGTAGACAAAAAAAAGCAACAAAAAACGGGGGAAAGGCAGGATTAATACAACAGTTTTACAGGCAAGGAACTGAGGCACAGAGAGATTAAATGATTTGTACAGCGTCACTCTTGGAATCTGAGCACTGACCTCAATTCTCCTGAGTCCCTCTGCACTGCGCTACCCACACCACCAACTCTCCAAGTCTTCATGTAGCCTGTGCCTTGTATGAAACACCCTTTAAATCTTCAAGCCCTAGACATCCCACTTACTTACATTTTCACTGTTAACGTCTGCCTCACTGGGACAGCCGAAGAGTTCCCGTCTCAGCAAATTCCCATCATATTCCAGGAATGTCAGGTAGAGGTTGCGGAAAAACTCCACATGCTTGTTTTTCACTCGCAGCTTCTTTGGTGAGTTCCAGTGAATCACCTCAGAGGGAAAAAAAGAGAAAACACATCCTGCTGTTAGAATACAGATTTGCTTTATCTGCTGTTTTTATGTGTGTTCAGTTCACTGCCCTCTTAAAAACAAAAAAAACCCCAACCCCCAAACTACACAGACTTCCTTCTGTCTTTTTATCAGGAAGGCTTCGCCACGTCTTTCACAAGTAACTGCATACTCTACAGGTGATGTACTTCGAAACTCCTCCATAGGATAACCTGCACATTTGAGTTGGTGTGCTGCTCTAGTTTGTGAGGCAGCACCTCATAAATGCTGCCACAACTCTAATCCCAGACCTGACAGGTTATGGACTCTGTTGAAGAAGGTGGCAGGACGAGGGACACAGGGATGTAGGTATTAAACATTAATCTCAGATTTCCACATGACTGTTTCAGCTAATGAAATTGTTTCACTGTTTCAGGCCAGACAGACTCTTCTCTGGTTAGGTATTGAGAAGAAAAAGCTTGAAATTAATTCCAATACCCATTTACACCCTTCAAAAAGGACTGAATTTAATCTGACTTCCTTTTCGCCATTGCTTCATTTAAACAAGACTGATTTCAGTTGCGTTACACAACACAGTGACGCAGTGCAACGCTTCACCCTTTGAATTCCAATTTCTAGCAGGTATTTAGCCTCTGCTAATGGGAGATGACTCTCACGCTGGCCTAGATTTAACTCCAATGCTGACATAAAGGGCCTGATTCTCATTTACATCACGGCAACTTTGCACTGCTGCCAGTGTGATTTCAGATTGCCAGTGAACGAGAATGGGGCCTTAAGGAAAAAAATAAGAAGGAGCCAAAAGTGGCTTGCAGGAATGATTTCATTTTATAGAGGCTATATTTTAGGCATAAGAAAAAAACACCAAATGCTTTGTATTCAGTTTTATTCCTGTGCCTTCTACAGAGATTAAAAAAAAAAGTCTCCCTTGGGAATATTTCCAAGCTAGGAGTTCTGGAGATTCTCTGAATCCATTAAGTTAATTGCTTGAAGGCACCGTGTCACTCACACACAGCCAGAGAGCTGCAACACTAGCTGCCGAGCAGGTCGCGTGGTAAGCTTTGCTCTGAACATTGCAGTAGTGGCAGGGAACACACAGAGCTGAAGCACAGCACGTCGAACAGAAGCAGCCCAGAGCAGATGAATGCAGTTCCCTTGGTGTCAGCAACACAACTCCACAGGAACAGGGAGCACTCTGAAATCCCGCTATCTGTTGCCGAAATGAGTGGACTGGAGGAGGAAAGAGCAGGACGTAGCCTGAATTTTTCCTGTACTAACTTCAGCAAACAACATAGTCTCTCCACTGAGTATTTATACTGCCATAAAAGCTATGGCACTCTCTTCTACAAACCCAACACCAATGAAAATATCTCCTGATAGGGAAAGCTTTATCCCTTCCTGGTATTTCACTGCTGAGGCTACTAGAATGTCAGAAAACCATACATGCAGTTACAGAAAAGCAACGGTAGGGAAAAAAGATCATCTCAGAAATTGGCAAATCACTTCTTCCAGTTATAGGAACACTTTAAATCAAGATCATGATGCTTCTACACACTGTATAAATATGGGAAATTATTTGGACAAAAATACTTGGTGTAGATATTTTTCCCAGATAATGCTACATTCTTTGCTGGTTTTACATTTGTCCACGTGTTCGGAAGTGTAGCTTAACTGTGCAATAACATGTTGCTGCAACGTGTGCTGAAAATACAGAACACCACAGAAACAAAAGGAGCTTTAGGTAGGTCAGGACATAAACTTAAGATGACAGATTTCCTCCACTGAAAAACGGATCTTCAAAATCTCCTTTCTTTGAAAAGAACTTGACATATTTCATCCATTGCATTTAACTGCAGCAAAAGTCATTAAATGCATGCAAAAAAATCTCGACAACTGAATCCTACCTTAGGGCAACAGGCACATGTAACAGAAGCATAGGGCTGAAGGAACCTAAAGGGCTGCTTAACAGTTTTACAGGGTATTAGTATGCATTTTTACAAGCAGGCATAGAATGGAAACTGTCTGCTGGTAACTTGCACTTATTTAAGAGTGGATCAAAGAAAGCTGAGAAGCTGGCAAATGGGACAAAAAATACTTGCTAAGAAAAAATCTGTGTGTTCTCCCTACTACTCCTACACTTCATGTGAGTTTCCTTTTGGATGTCTTCACGAGCATCCTATCCCCCTGCTGAGCACTCTGACCACTCACCCTGGGGACCATGAGCACAGAAATGGCCAATGATGATAAACTCGGTAACTGTTAAGGGACAGGCTCCCCGGTGCTGCAGGAATTTCCCATCAACATACACTATGTCACATCACAGCCAAGTACTGGTGTTGATGCCTCTACCCAGTTGTGTGTGGGATGATGTCAAAGCCAGACAACTGCAGTTGTCAGCGTAGACGCTCTTTGCTGCCGTGCTTCAAAATCTGTTGTGTGTGTAAAAGCTGGTAAGTGTCAAGGGCCTAGCTGGTGGTTCAGATCTGATCAGATTTGAAATGCGTTAGGATGCTGCATGTGTGCAGATGTCAGGGGAGCCCGGAGTGAACTGAAGAAAGCTGAATGGAGCTGATGACTCTCCAGAAAAGCTGATTTTTTAATCAAGAAAGACAGCACACGCCAATGCGGCTAAAGAACATCAAGGAACTATGCAACCATCTGGATGACCTGAGGTAGGAAAACCACAAAACAGGTCTAGCGAAAAAGCAGGCTGCTTTTCAAATGTAGCATGATTAGATAAATATCATGTGATACATGAAAGCATAAAAAAGAACAGCAGGTTTCAAAAAGCACCAAGACTCTTAACCATTGACATACAACGCTACATCCAAAGACTGTATTCTTTTTTTTGCTGACAGCCCACAAATTCACCTTCAGTTCTGACTGTAGCTGTCTGATTTGGTCTATTGCACCATCAGCTACAGCAGAAGTTGTACAGGCCAAGACATCCTTGTATAGCCTGTCACGGGCTTCAGTGAGGTACATGATGAAGACAATGGGCTGCACAGGTAAAGCTATGGCCATTATGTTAGAAACTTTATTGTGAGCAACAGGGAATTGATTGGAGAAAAAAAAAACAGTTGGAAAGAGCCTACGGGGAAATCAGAAGAAAAAAAAAAAGTCAAACTTAGAATCCACTTTATTTGCAGACTGAGCAAGTGTTATCTCAACATTAAAAAGAGAAAGTGAATCTAGAAACTAAAAATCTCATTACTACAACATCCCCCTTCAAAGACTGAATAGCACCATAATACTGTGTTTATTTCTCCTTCTATTTTCCCTCCTGGTTTCTAAGCTATTCCAAAGCTCTGTTGGCTTACAGAGGAAACTGCAGCTAGAACATATAAAATTCCAGTGCCATTATCTAGGTGGACACCTCAGGAACAGTGCTAGCATTCAGGATGTCCCATGGATCCTTCCCACTCTTGATCAAGGGCTCCTGAGAACTAAGAAAAATACACTCCTTAATCTTCATTTAGCCATTTAAGTACTGAAAGATCAGAACTTAAAATTCCACATCTATTTAACACTTGGTTAGTTGTCATTAAGCAACTTGGCACTATCTACATTTCTGTTAATACCATCCTAGTTAATCAGCAACCGTTACCACTCACTGATTATGCTCAGCCAGCCTCCTGAAATACTTCCATACACTTGTGACCTAGTGAAAAAGGCTAACTGCACCAATAGTTCCCATTTATTCACCAGATTCTGACCCAAAGCACTCAAATGATGACACAGTTGGAGCTTCGTAGACTGGCAATGGGATTTGAGATGGAAGGTAACAGAGGATGTTATATGCTGGTGGAGTGTAGGAGAGGGCTCTAAGATCAGTTATCTGCGTGGAAATACACTGAAAACAAAAATCCCAGCAAACCTCCTTAGGTTACCAGCTGCACTGTCTTCTCTGGGGAGATTAAATATTTTGAATCTGATGTTCAAACCACTAAATGATAAGCTTCAACACAACATTATTTCTATAGGTACCTTTATCCATTTTTCCCCTGAAGCATCTTCTCTCTCCAAAAGAAGTATTTGGCCAAGTGTTTACTTAACTACAATCTCTTCCGTTTTTTACCCAGAGGCACATCTTGATAATTTCTCACTCTGCTTCAGCCCTTACGAAATCAGAGAATACAGGATATCCTGTATACCTACATACCTACTTTCCAGGCTGAAGGGGTAAAAAGTAAGAATAAATTAAGATTAAATTTAAGCCTAAAGAAGTTTAATTTTGCAAAGCACTGAACAGAGGTTCTTAATTAAGCCCATGAGCACATCACACTTTAGGTAAATAAGTAAAAGTGGTATTTTGTAGATGGGGATCTTTCCTGCTTAAAAACTAGACTCCTTGTTTAGGTAACCAGACAGTTCCCACCGAAATCAACAGGAGTTAAACGTTCAGCAAATCTGCACAGTAAAGCCACCTATATAGGCCACTTTAATGCCGTCTCAATAGGCTTTTTTTCAGGCGCATATTGAAAAGTTTAAAGATGCCCCAAGTCACATTGCAAACAAGTACCACATGTTATGCCTCGATTAGAGATTTCTGGAAACTTTATTTTTAAACTGCGTTTTATCAGAAATGAATGGTTTAATAAAAGAACCAATTTCCTCAGAAAGGATCAAATACTTCACAAAAATGTCATCAGGGAGGTTACAGAGTGATATTTCTGAACTACATAAGTGGAAAAGACTCACATTGGAGTAGCCAGCAACCCAGAGGTCCAGGCACTGCTTTTGGATGTGAGAGTCAAATCCCTGCCCTGCCTGGTTTGGTGCCCATGGTCCCAGGGATTACTTTACTCCCCAGCTTATTGCCTATGCTGTATGGCAGTAAGCTGACAGGCTGTCCCTGTCCTGTACTTTTCAAAGTTCTCAATTTTTCCTCAAAAGGATTTGCAGCTCTGCCTTTAACTCCTGTACCAATGTTTAAAGAGACGCCTCCTGCCTGCAAAAACACCCCTAAAAACACCTCTATAATACCACAGTGCTCCCTTTTTGGCAGAGCAGAAGTACCTTGCTAACTCCGATGTTCATTCAAGGGACGGGTATGTTTAACCCTCTTGACCCCTTAGTCCTCTCAAGGGAGGGTAGCCCTTCCTTGGTTGGCATTAAGAGGTGCAAGGCGGCAGAATGCCAGAACTGCTGCAGATCAGTGCTAAGGTGCTTGGACAGCATGGGGTGGCTTGGGGACTGGGATAGAAAGAGGTGCAATAGGTCATGTTTGAGGCAGATCTGAAACGATGTATTTGGGTTATGGGCAAGAAGCCATTTAAACTTTCGTAAGCAATCTCACAAAGTCGTCCTGTGGAGGACATTCCCAGGGAGGACACGGTGAATCACATAACACAGTTCCAGAATGGGGAATTTATGAGGTTAATTATTTATCTACCTGCTAATTTAGTATCAGCTGCGTTCAAAACCAGTCTGAAAAGCCATCAAAGGTTTTAAAGCATTTTCCTATTTTGAGGTGGGGGGGTAAATTCTAATAATTTGACACATTCCCATTGAAGAGTCCAGCATCTGATCTTTGTGATTGTGAATTACCAGATTCTCTATGTGTAAATAGCATCTGTATCCTTGACAACCAGATTTCTCTTCATGACTGACTCATTCAATGAGGTCACGATTCATTGTCAGAGGCATCACAATTCATTTCATAGGATTTTTCTTGCCATTTGGTTTGTGCCAAATCATAGTAATTGAGATTTCCTTACAGACAGGAACAAACTCTTAACCAAAAAGGAAAGCAAACACAGGGTCCAACCCAGCAAAAGTAATGCATAAATGACCCTCAGTTCCAGGCAGATTCCTACAGGCTTTGAAGCCCAGCAAGGCATGGTCCTACAGCACACATGCTTGTCCACTGACATTGTGGGCTACTGGGGACCATGTGAGGAGCTGAGATAGGCAAGATAGACAGTGGATGCCTAAACAGAATGCCTGTTAGCACTTCCACATCTTTTGGCCAGCCTTCAGTAACAGCTCCTGAGTGTTTCTCCAAGGTGTAACAAATGCCATGCAAAAATAAACACCTCTGGCCTTTAGAGACTGCAGTTGGCTCACTTGGCAAAAAGAATTAAAGGGCATCTGCTTCCTCTTAGCCCACTCCTTGTTTTCTATTAAAATTGTTCATTTCAAGACATTCTTGACTGGTGCAAAGCATCCTTAATACAGGTGCCCTCGGGGTGGAGAAAGGAAGATTTCTGTAAGTGTAATTGTTTATATAAGTTTTGGTTCCATATGCCACGGACAGCAGAACAAAGCCCACAGACTTCAGTCTAGTTGTATACAGTATGGCCTCTAGCACTATATAGTATAACACAGGAGGTAAGTAAACATTTAGATGAATAAAAATAATAGTCTTATTTTGATGTTGCTTTAGATGGATATAAAATTAGTGGTCACTAACAATGCAGAATTTGGTTATAAATATTTCTATTCTTCTTACGCCTTTTCTGAAAAATGCCCATATGCAAGTCCTTCCAAATTTGTATATGCTGCTCAGCTGCAGCAAGGAAGTAGAGTTCAGAAGTAGTCAAACATCTGATCTTCTCCAACATAAGACAATACAAAAAAAAATTCAATAAAATGGATAGACATGCAACTTAATGAGGACTATAAAGAGAAAAAAGTGATTAGAATCCTTTTCAGGCAATATGAAATATTCAAGTGCTCCACAGGCCTGCAAGAAGTATGCTGGTCATCCTATGTTTGCATGAATGTGAACAAAGCAGCAAAGAAGTGTGTATATAGACATACACCCCCCCCCCCACCCCGCCCCGAACAGCAGCCAGGCCTGGGGGTCTAAGTTTATTTGACACAATGTTGTGTATAAGAGATAACAAATCCTCAAGTCCCATGGACTTTGAGGCCAGATGGAATTAAATCAGTGCTTTTTCAGTCTGACATGAGGAATGCAGTCTGATTTGACTGAGGAATACTTGACTAGGCCAGCTTTACCTTGGAATTTAAATCTCTCCCTGCATTTCCTTCTCTCCTACGCTATCCTTCTTAATCCTCCAGTACAAACTTCACAATCTGTCTTTCTCTCCCTCTTACCCTGGAGGTTTCTTTTACCTCGTTTCTTATTCCAGTCTTACCATGAAATACAGGATGTGCCAAATATGTTGCGTCATACCATTTATATTAAATGCCATGGAACTGACTAACTTCGGTGATTTTAAGAGTATATTTTCTAACTTGGGCGAACAACATTTGTTGCTATTTTGAAAGGACCACATACCAAACAAGCTGGTTTCTTTTCAGAATTAGAATTTTGCTAATTTTCATAACGCAAATTCACAACTTTAATTGGTTTATACTTTTTTTTGATTGTATGAACAATTTTAAACAGTGTGGCCTGAGGGCCAGTTCTTTAACTGCTGAATATGGGAAGAGCTTTATTGAAACCAGGGGGCTTATGTGCACTAGATAAGGCTCTGGCCTCTCTTTCAAAGCAAAGAATTTCAGCTCCGATTCAGTATTTAGGGGATAATTTTAGCAGTGTGAATAAGCCCCGTTCAGCTGAAGAAATTGCTTATGTGGCTGCACCCCTTTTTGAGTTAATTACCTCAGACCAGAAAGCCAGTGGAGGATATTATTCATCTTAGACTTCATTGCCTATGCTGTAATGGAACTGACAGTGTGATACAATATATGGTAATAAACAACCTAAGTTATACTTGTAAATGTGAATTTGTTAATCGACAATGAAGAAAGGATTCAATGTATTTTTAAGATACTTCTATTAAATGCTTACTTGTAGGTGTTACATATGAGCTAGATGTCCCACACCTGAAGCAGATTAGGCAATACAGTCACTGGAGCCTAAAGAGTGATTTGCCTGATTAGTCAACAGATGCCTACTCTGAGGTGAGCTTAGCCAGCCTCCAAAACTACTCATGGGGATCACAATTCAGTGCCTAAATACAGATGTATAGGAACACTGAAAGCACCTTAGGGTTATCCTTCCTGCTCATCAGCTGCCTTGCCAAAAGGGTATCGTCCCCTGTAGGTCTGTGTTGTATCTGCCAGTCCCATACGGATATCCGAGGGTATCTCTGGTGACTCACAACTGTGTTTAGGCAATTGAACCAAGCCCTAGATCCTCAGTTATTAGCTTCCCTATTTTTTGCTTATGTAAATGTATGTGTCTCAACCTTGTGCTGAATCCAATCTGACTGTCTCAGCGGATTATATGAATTAAAGTCAGACCATAATTCACAGAAAAATACTGTGGTATCTCCCAGGTAGGAGGTGTATTTTTCTAAAATTCATCTTTTAGAAAACATATTCCCTGCTACTACATCTCTCCTTTTGTTTCAGGCCTTGCAATTGCTGTCATACATGATTCTCAACATGAGCACAGAACTAAAATCTCTACCAGCACTTTGTTACAAGGCATAAAACCATGATGCTTTTAAGTCCCTGCATTGTTCCTGCCCTACAAACATCTATCATAAAGCATTTAGTGATCAGTGTACTGACCAGTATACTGATCTAACTTTAAAAGCTGTCTTCTATGGACCACACCTGAATAGTTGGTTGTGAATACTTTATGTATGAAGTTCAAGCAATACTGGCCAGCTTTGACAGGTCAGTTAACCCATGTAGCAGATCTTCTGTCTTTTGGGAAGTGCAGCTTTTGAAATCAGTGTGTCGAGGGTAATTGATTTTCTATATTCATCCAGTATCTGGTGTTCATATTGAATACTCCTGCTGTTACTCTACAAATTGTTACAAGGGAAAATTTGGTTAGATTTCGAAAATATATTGCACCATGAGGGTGGTCAAACTCTGGAACAAGAGGCCAGGGAGGTTGTGGAATCTTAGTCTTTGGAGACTTGACACTCAGCTGCACAAGGCAACCTCATCTAAGTTGGTCCTGCTTTGAGTGGGGTTTGGATGGTCTCCAGAGGTCCCTTGCAACCTCTTCTATGGTTCTGTGTTTTTCTTTTCTTTTTTTTTTTAACCCTCATTTACTAAAGCATTCTCAAAACATAAATTAAATATATGAACCTTGACTGAATTTTAAAATGAATCGCCAAAAACTACCTAATATTTACTGTGTTCTGACACCACTAGTCTGCTCTGATGGAATCTGCTGCTGTTTAGCCAGCCAGTCTTATTCTACACCTGGTAGAAGCTCAATCAGCTTCAATTCTGAACTCTCTGCGTGCTACATTTGAGTCTGGCCTTTCAAAATGACCACAGCACAATTGATGTTAATTTACCCGTATCTGTTCAAATCCACCCAGCTTTTATATTCTACTTGACAATAGTGAAAAATGTGCTATTAAACTGATACTATAGCTTCATTTTATTAAATTAATAGGTTTCTACTCAGCCTTTTTTCCAGGGCAAATCCTGGAAAAATGAGTGGCAATGTGGCTGGGTTAAGTGTACGCAAAGGCTAAATATGAAGCGTGCAAGGTCTTTAAATTTTGACTAATGTACTTCTAGCTAGGGTCCGCCCAACCCTCTTTGTGAATTTCACTCCATTAAATGATGTTGACTAAAGGGTTTCAAACTTGTCCAGTACAAAAAAACAAGAGTTTGTATTCTTTGGCTAGGAAGAGCTAAGAACTGGGACAGCAACAGGAACTCAGTAAGGCGCAGTGGCATAGGCGACAGGTACAGAATATAAGAAGGTAAAGCACTTCTCTAACACTTTGTCAAACCCCAAAGCAGCATTCATCTTTGACTTTTCTAGCAGTCAAAATGCACAAAGCCAAAGTCATATTTGCTTCCCCTGCTTGGGTGTCCTCATAAACTGTATGTGTTAGTTTCACCCCTACTTAAGGGACTTCATGCTTCTGTCGCAGCGGAGTCCTGTATTCTCTGTTGCAAAGGATACCACCCATCCAACCTCCTGTAAAACATACCTTCAGGTCAGACACATCTCTGTAGCACTGCTCGGAACGGGTGTGATCAGACAGCTGCACGTTCCAGAAACATGGGAGCTGGTAGACAAGGAAGGGATTTTGTTTGATGACTGCATTGAAGATGTCCTAGCAGAGAAAACCAGAGAAACAGTTGGGTACATTGTTTCTACAGCGAGGTGATCTCAACCCCTCCCCAACCTGACTGTCCTTCTCCCCCTCACAGGGAGAAATGCAAATGGTTATGTGAGCTGAACTCTGCACACCTTGCTTCATAATTCCGTTTCCACAGAGGGTGCTATCAATCTAAGGGGTGACGTGTGGATCTGAACAAGAGGAACAGGCTCTCTTGACACACACAGCTAATGGAGTCCAGCAAAGTTTTCAAAACATCTATCTTGTACTGCTGGAAAGAGATGTGGTTCCTCTTCTAGTCACCAGGGAGAGTAATATGCAGGAAATGACAAACTGCTTGCTGTTACTAAGTACTGCATCACTTTTCAATATAGGGGATGAAAGTGATCTTGGTAGTTGCGCTTCAAGGTGAATTACTATGTGGGATTTTAGCTAACACTTTAATGTTGCAACAAGTATTCTAGGTATTTCATGGAATGGGCATGTAGGACAGATCTGCAGAACAGCCTACACCGTGAGGGACAGAACGTGTTCTGCCTCTACGCAGCCATCCAGTTGGAGAAGTAAGTTACAAGGACAGTCTTGTGGTTAAGGTATTAGGGTAAGACATAAGCAACCTTGGTCCACTCTGCAAAATTCTGACCCATGCAGGTATTAGACAGTAACTCGGGACCTGATGGAGAACACAGTGAAGCTGCAAAAATAAATTTAAAGAACTTCAGTAGCTTTTGGATCAACCTGTAAGGATACTGTACACAAGTGCACATCTCTATGTGCACACTAAGCAGCATGCTTCCTTAGTGGTGACTGGTCATAAGCCAGATGTAGCTCAAAAGCAGTAGAAATATCTAAATATGATGCTGTATTGAGTTAATACACTCAAGCTGTTGAGCAAGACTTACTGGTTCAGGTCCAGTACTACATGAACAGGGTTTCTGGATTTAAAACTGAGAGCTGGCAGGAAGCACAAAGAGAGAAAATATGCATTTCTGTGTATAGGTACACTATTTCTTCTCTTGGCCTCAGTTTCCCTGTGGCAGGGAAACAGCAGCAGTTCTGTCTTCACAGGGGTGTTGCGGCAAGGAGTACATTAAAAGACTGCTGAGACTCATCTGCCAGAAACAGTAAAGAAATATCTGGAAACTCTTGAAACTAAAGTCTGCTTAGACAATAACCAGTAGGAAAAGACAGCATATTTGGACTTCTAGTGTCTGGACAGTTTTATGTTAAAGAAAGGAGGACAGAAAATTAAAGCTTGAAAACCCCATTTGCCTATTTTATGAATCATCTGTGCAGAGGAAGTAAAAACGACAGTGTAGTAAGAGAAACCTTATGAGTAAATCTCCATTCCTCTCTTCCACGTTTTCACCAGAATGATTCAACAAATGGTGACCTCCCCTGCCTTTTCCCACATCTCATCCCCTTTCCCTTTCTTACCTTCCTCAATCCATGGAGTAGTGGTTGTACCACTTGTCTGCAATGTCCTACTCACCTGGTCAGCCAGTGAAGTGGACAGCATGCTCATTAACTCCCGCTCTGCCGTGAGTCTCCACATCTGCTCCCATTTCATCTTCCGTAACTTATCGAGAAGCAGCAAGATAACCCCTGAACGAAAACACAGTGCAGAGAACAAGAGAAGCCATGATGTCACATGCCAGTCAAGGCCCATCCTGTCTATGTGCTGACTCAGCAGTTAAAACAAGGACATGAGCTGAGATCTATCTGTGGAAACTACAGTCCTTACCCTGTGCTAACACAGGAGGTTGACTAAAAAAAGCTTCAGGTTTCAAGATGCCACTAAAAGAAGGTTTTCCTGAACTCCTGAGGCTGCAGAGGAGAAATGGAGAGACGGCATACAGATGAATGCTAGGTTATACAGGCTTGCATGAAGGCTAAAGTAGCTGAAGAGGAGTGAAACTGTGAAGAAGAGAAGCAAGAGAAGGATGTTGTATTTCTAGCAGTCTCCTTAACTGATAAAGCTTGATTTCATTATGACATGATTAGCATTGGGATTATTCCTTACAAAATGAACCAATAGAGGTGATTCACATGATGGAGGACAACTCCATCCAAAGGTCGTTATTATTCCAAAGAGAATTAGACAATATCCTACAAGAAAGAAAGAAGGAACCTGTTAACACTCAGAAGTGACCCTCCCCACTCCTTATTCTGAAAAGCTACAGGCTGCAAGAGGATATTCTGTCAAGTCACTGTCTACTAGGGAAAGGGTATGACTCCATTTCTGCCCTCTTCACACTGAACAGAGATCTGCTTCTTCCAAAATCCCACTATTTAAATTGATTTATATCTGACCTGAAATCAAGATTATGCTGCGACAAAGAGAATTTTGTCACGCATATGAAACATTTTACTCAATGTGTGTGGGGTGAAATCTGGCCCTTAATACTTACTGCATAGGATGCAATACATATACTGCGTAAGATGAAATTGCAGCCCTTCCTCTACCTAGTAAGAAGTTACTCACCTGACACATCTGATTCCAATCCCTGAGGCTTTTCTGAGTAACAGATTATCAATGCTGGTTACAACCTAGCCTTTGAGAGTGCCCGCCATTAAGGCAGCAAGTATTCATAGAGCAGGACCCTCAGATCAGAAAGTTACACTGAAAGGGGGAAAAGAGGTATCTCAGCACGAATTGTTACCCCTCAGTTGTTTTTTGTCTGGACAAAATCCCTAGTGCAAAAGAAGGGAAAACAGCAGAAGCAATGAAGCTGGATTGAAGCATCAGCAAAACCTTTCCTACAGTGTCTCGGAAAATTTTACTTGAAAAATTAAATTGGAAAGACTTAGATAAGAGCACTGTCATGGGGAATGAACGCAAAATGAAGGACCATAAAGGAAGAGTACCGATAAACAGCAGCCTAGCAGGTTGACGGGAAGTGCCTAGAAAGAGCAGTGATAGGTTCTGTGTTGTTTCATGTCTTCATTAGTGGAAGGGGGAAGTGAACAGAATAGTAATGACATCTGCAAGTGACATTACAAGAGGTCTTACCAAAAAATAAATCATGGCAACTGTAGAGAAACATAACAGCTACACAGAAGAATATGAAATGGCAAAAAGCAGGCACTGGGAAAAGCTGCCCGAGGGAGTCTAGGACGATAAAACTAAAAGTAATAAGAAAGGAAATGTAGTCTGAATACTTAGGAAAAATTCTCCTAAACTCTTTGTGGCAAAATAAGCTAAAAATGGCAGATAAATTGCTTTATTTCATGAGCGTTTAAAAATCAGACTACACAGAGATTAGCAAATATACCTGGAACAATCCTGCAATGGTTGGGATAGAGCAAAGGAGGTTCCAGGTCATTCCTGTCTTCAGTTTCTACGACATAGCAAATTTCTTTCTAGTAAAACCTGGCACTGCCATGAATAAAAAGAAAACCTCTTCTGGCAGTGAATTTTGTGGCCTATTTTAGTTCTGTTTTCCATTTCAGTTCATCTGGTTCCCAAGGATGCTGGAACCTGTACTGGAGGGATCCCCTTTCATCTTCACTCAACCTTTCTGCTTCCAGCTGTTGGACTGGTGTCCTGGTTTCGGCAGGGACAGAGTTAATTTCCTTCCTAGCAGCTGGTACAGTGCTGCGTTTTGGATTTAGGATGGGAACAAAATTGATAAGGCACCGATGTTTTAGTTATTGCTAGGTAGTGCTTACACTGGCCAAGGACTTTCTAGTTTTCCATGCTCTACCGACTGAGAAGGCTGCAGGTGCACAAGAAGCTGGGAGGGGGCACAGCCAAACTGGCCAAAGGGACATTCCATACCATGTGACGTCATGCTCAGTACATAAACTGGGGGAAGCTGGCCGGGGGGGCCGCTGCTCGGGGACTGGCTGGGCATCAGTCGGCGGGTGGTGAGCAATTGTACTGTGCATCACTTGCTTTGTGTATTATTACTATTATCATATTATTATCATTATCATTTTATTTCAATTATTAAACTGTTTTTATCTCAACCCACAAGTTTTTCTCACGTGCTTTTCCAGTTCTCTCCCCCATCCCATCGGGAGGGGGGGGAGTGAGCGAGCGGCTGCGTGGCGCTTAGTTGCCAACTGAGGTTAAACCACGACAACTGGAAAGGGACGTATTGCCACAACATGCTACAACATATTTCTGCCAGTGTGTTTGTCTCCTCTCCAGCATAACCGAAGCCTATTTGGCGTATGTAGTGTGCGTGCATTAGCTTCTAAGAGAGCCATTGTGCATTGTCTGAAATTCCAGATCAATGTGAAGCAGATTCCTTGTGCTGCAGCAATAAACTGGGTGGGATAAGTTCCTCTCTGGCAGTGGATTTTTTCCAGCTGTCAAGAACTGTCAGCTTTGTTTCAATAGTGAAATACAACTGAGGAGATTCTTTATTAAGAAAAATAAAGACTAATTGTAAGATTCAGTTAACTCTACAGTATTTATAATTTATAGACAATAAAACATTTTTTGTTGATTTCTTTAAGCCTCCAGTCTGAGGAGGAAAAGGGCAAATGTTTTAATATGTGCAGTATTCTCCAATTTTTTTGTCTTCCACTTTTATGCTAGCAGGAGATTACGGCATCGCAGCTAAAGAGATTATGCTGTCCTGAGGGGCTGTCATGGTAGCAGCAGCTGAGAGTAAAAGAGGCAGATGGGGTGGAAAAACTGGTATATATGTGAGAAAGGATGTATTAAATTGTGATGCAATCATGGCTATTGAAAATATTCACAAGCTTTTAATGTTCCATCGTCAAGACTAATTTCGATGTGATTTCTATTTTAATTCACCTACAGGCTCGGGTTTAACACCTTTGTTCAGCCTCTGTTCAGGGCTTCTCGCACTGTGGAATTCTAATTTACTGCTGCCATAAAAATAACTACTGGAGAATATTTATAGCAAGTTTAAATATTTACTCATTAGTATTAGTGAGAGTAAGAGATTTCTACTAAGAGGAGAATTTAATACTATTCAACTAATTAGTGTTATTTAGTGCAAAAGCAAAGAAAAGCATGTGTGTGGGGAACTTTTATTAAATAGTTCATGCAGAGGAAAAATTACCTTTTCTTCAGAACAGAGCACTTCAGTTTTACTTCTATATTGTTCTGTTACCAAAAGCAAACATAACAAATGAACTAACTCCAATCTGCGCAATCAGTCTGCAGGCAAAGTGTCTGAAATAAGGAAAGGGAAATATTTGCCTCAGGACCTCCTTCCCTCAGAGTCAAATTGACTGAAATCTCAGACTAAATTCAAGATGACATACAGCTGAACATAAGGGGAAAAGGGACTTACTCTCAGCTGCTGTGTTGGGGGAGGAAGAGACTGGAGAAAAAAAAAAATCAAAGGAATATTTTATGAACATCTGGCCCCAGGCAGTGGGACTTCTCATCTTTTGATGAGTGCAGCATTTTCCTGCCCTAACCTACCTGAGAAAAAGAAAGGGAAAGCTTGGCAGCAAATAAACGAAAAGAGGAGAGTGGCAACCCAAATGTCTCATGAGTATTAAACAAATTATGATCACCCACAGAACACCCTATTTTCCTTATCCTGAGGAAATAGTTCAGGCATATACAGAGATGCAAACATCTCAAAGAGCTCTTGGAAAAATAATGCTTTATTACTAAACCTGTGGAACACATCCTAGTCTAGTTTTTACTTGAATGGCATTTTCTCCCCCTGCTTGATGAGACTTTGCTTGAACTACCAAAATCTGACAGATTCTGAATTGCTCAAACAAGAAAGCAAACAAACAAACAAAGGAGTTTCTCAAAAATATAATTTCAGGACACACACAAAAAACCCCAGCCCCAAAAGCAAAACAACTAAAAAAAGGAATTTGGTGAATAGATTGGAGAAAACAGGGCAAAAAATCTGAATTAACATATTTAGACTAAAACGTTTCAGTTGGGAAATACTGCAATATTTTTTGGCACATTCTAAAAACCAACTTATTCTAAAATAATATTTTTCACTTCAAAATTGATACAAATTAAAAATCTTATTGAAAATGGTTACAGGACCCGAAAAGGAAAATAAATGTTTCATTCTGGGTCTAACAAAACTCTGGGGTCACCTGAATTTTTTGTCCTTTTCCCTTTTTTTTATTCAAACCGAATCAAATTTTTTGTCTTTCCAATGATTTGACTAAGCCCTGGTTTCAGCAGATGCTTCAAGCCATCTCAGCAAAATAGTTTGGTTTTTTTTTTTTTTGTTAATCTGCTCCAGAACAAAATATTTCATTTCATTTTTCTGAATAGTAAATTGGAAGTTTGCAGAAACATCACCAATTTCCCTTGGAATGCTACCAAGCATCACCACCTCTTGCTTCAGGAATACAGACTATGGCTTTTCCTGAAATTCAGAGAGGAATATATAGTAGAGCTGGAAGCAATAAACAACATTTTAAGATAGAACAGAATCATTTACAGAAGTTATAGTGAAACTGGACAAGCTTTCAAACTCAATCAATTTATTACAATGGCCCTTTTAAGGTGGCTGAAAAAATACTTAGTGCTGTGGGGAAAAAAAATGTAGCTACTAAGAGATCGTTTTCTGTAAGCACTACCTTGCCTGTTTCTTTCCGGTGGAACAGGATGCTTTTGTGAGCTGTTGAGGCAATGC